GAGAGGAGAGGAGAGAGGAGAGGAGAGGAGAAGGGTGTTAGCGAGTACCTAAAAATTGTTTCTTTTCAAAACTTTCTTCTATCCAGTTAGGCGTAACTATGAATTGCGCGATGGAGATGGCAGAAAGGAACTTGACGGTACGAATAATCTATAGGGGAAAAAATTATCAATATTTTATTAATATTTTAAAGAAGGTATGAATAAAAGCTCACAGTTATCCTTATAAGCCATTCCGAGGAAAATCTGGGTCGGATTGGCATTTGGAAATGTTTTAGGGACATATTTCCAAGATGGCGTCTATTCCGTACCCTCAAATTAGCCCACAATGCACTGCAATGCCAACTCGACCCAGTTTTTCCTCAACCTTGAAATGTTTGATAGTCTTCTGGGTGTGAAGATATTGAACGGAAGAGCAGGAGGGGAAGGTGATAGGGCTTTGAATACTCCCATTTCGAGTTCACCTTTGCTCAGTCTTAGTCTCGATTGTGTACAAATGTGTTCTTTTCTTTTATTAAGGTCCATTGTATAGTAAGGAATGCAGGTACTACGGAACAATACGAGTTGATTAAAATGCCACGAGTTTTGCTTGAATAGCTGAATATTATAACGCACAACTGAGACTAAGGCTTAGCAAAGAGAACTAGAAACTGGAGTATTGCTGAAATAACAGAAAGGCTTTCGAATATGGAAAGAACACTTACTTTAGTAGCGACAAGATGCGTGCAGGTTCGATGTGAATCTGCAGCAACGCCACCTAACTCCGTTAACATCTGTAAAATAAATACAAAAATCTAACGTAAAAAAAGAAAAAAAACTACTTTTTTTCCATTGCGTGAGGAGGGGTTGCTCAATTCTCCCGAGACCGGGGCTCATGTATGAAACGCTCCAAGATGAAAAATTGAAGTAGGTCACGGTAGAAACTACTTTGAAAAGGAGCAGATGACCATAGGACCTGATTACACAGTCAATTCGAAAAAATGTTGTCGTCTCCCAACTCAAGCCTACGCGACTAGACTGAAAGGAACTCTGGGTAGCAATTATTGAAGCCGAGTTGACTCCATAAATTTATCTGACTAGTTATGTCTGGTTTACAGCACGAACCTTCGTAGGCGAGCGGGAAGTGTTGAATGAGACGTTTTTTTAATGCCTTCATATTTTCGAATTGTCGTGTCACGACCGTGTTCGTGCCATGAACTTTTCACGGTCATACGAAAACTGCTCTAATATGAAACGATGTACAGATCAGTGTTATGACCTGCAATGACTGACTAGGTATTTGTATATTTTTTCAAAAAACGTTGCCAGTCGGTCTGAAATCTGACATCTGAGACCTAGTAACACGCTGCAAAACGTAATATATTCACAGCGGAACAACCTATTTTCCTTTTAGATTGGAATATGAAGCATGGCCTTTGATTTCAGCCAAAAAATATTAAGGCACCAAAATTCCATTTATTAGTCTTAGATCACCCATCTCAGACGATCGACAACGGTTTTTGAAATAAGTGTATATATATTATGATACCTTCATTAAAGTGGATACTTTCCCAATAGACAGACCAGTAAAGAGAACACGAGGCGTATTGCTATTCATTTCAATGTTGGATGAATTTGAAAATCTAAAGGATAAGAGAAAGCAGTCTACATTTTAGCATCGAATGTGGTGCCTGTTTTTAGCTACTTTCACTTTCCTCCAGGGTATATAAGGTGAATGAGAGTGTATTTAGGCGTACCTTTGTTTCTTAGCGGTTTGCGATTCTTCGACCTCCGCTTCCTAATTATGAAAGGCAAAATGGAAATAGAAAAATAAATAGTTGGGAAACTTGACATTGGGTAGTTAATGAATCGATGAATAAATAAATAGATAAAGGGAAGGAAGGAAGGAAGGAAGGAAGGAAGCAACCAACCAACCAAGGAAGGAAGGAAGCAAGCAAGCAAGCAAGCAAGCAAGCAAGCAAGCAAGCAAGTAAAGAGAGACTAAAGCACTAAAAATATAGTCAGTATCAAATCATTACAAATATTTATCATTAATCTTACTTCAACTTCAGCTTGTTTTCTTTTCATTCCTTTGGATTCCTTAGAATAAAATGTGTCACTTCAACTTCAACACGCAACATTGAAATTACTCATGCTAAGAAAAACCTCCATACCTTAATGTCTACTGTGTTATCGGGTACTGTAGGGTCATTCGCCCATGCACCTACAACAAAGATGATTGTCAATGTTACTGTGAGTAAAAAGGTATTACACGGACTAATGACCGACCAAACGACCAGTAGGCAGGCAGGCAGCAACATGACAAAAAGAGGGGGGGAGATTTTTTAGGGATTTTGTTGATGAAAAATATATGGGTTTTTACGCTTAACAGGAAAAGAAAACCAAACTTATGCCCAAAGAGCAAGACTAAAAACTTTCAGCCTAATCGCTTCTTACCAATGAGGTCTTTTACATGATCCATATTCGCAGATAAGTCGTCGTCCTCTCCAAATACTGAATACCTCTTGAGGGCACAGGGAGGGACCTTTGCAGCTGAAAATATAAAGAATATTATAATAATATGAAACTGTTATAACGCCCGGCAATGCTCGGCTACGCCTCGAGTTTGTATATCTGATACAACACGGCCACTCATACTGTATACATTACCCACAGCTCCCAGCGTGTTTATATCACAGTACAGAGACATGTGTGGTGTTTTATATTCCTTATTTATAACTTACATGTAACGATATCTCCAAGCCATTTAGCATTCACACAAGGTATTCCCCATTCTCTTGCCTTGGCGTATTTGTCGCCTACTGAGCTGATAAAAAACAAAGCATTGCCAATGATTGAATCATTAAATAAAAAAATAGTTGCTAGGTTTAATAGACTACATTGAACCCAGGTCAAACGTCGAACTTCACATGAGCCACAAGCGTTGCGTTTTAATTGTATTTTTCTTATCAAGCAAAATTGCCATTAAATATTCAAGAACAAGTAGCGTTAAGCTAATTCCAAATCAAATATACCAAAAAAATTATAGCAATTTTTGACCCCCCTGATTCCACTTTTTAACCCCTTGAGTATGCGCTTAGAGCAGTAGCACGAAACTCTTGAAGCATGTATAAGTATTAGTGTTTACCTTTTACATATGATATGAGTATTTGACCTCGACAGATATCCTGTATATGTGGCTCCTATCACGAAGATCATATTCTTGACTAAGAGCCTCTCAGCACCTGTATATCCTGTCACTGTTATGGACTAGAGAGAATGAAAAGAAAAAGATTAGTAGACATTTTTTTAGCTTTCAGAAAATATATACTTTTAATAA